ATCCTACTCTTTCACATGATATGCATGAGTTGTTCACATTAGCCATCTTGTTTCCCCTCTGTTGCTAGCTACTTTAGACCTCTTCTTAAAAAGTAAACATTTATGTCATAATCTAATCTAATATTTTTTATACAAAAGAGACGGTGTTGACATGTTATGGTTGTGACATTAGCAGTGTCCAAAAAATATGAACAAGTTTAAGAGAAAATAGCAAACCTACAGGAGCTTGAGTGACCTTAAGGCATCCAGTAGAGCTGAAGATTTGAAAATGGGGTCCTCAGGCATGTAGTTGACCTTTTAGTTGCCTGATTTTATTGCTTTTTATAAATATCTGACGGTGGTGACAAATATGTGGGACACATTTTGAACAATCACAAAATAATGGTTATTATTGTTCAAAACTCACTGTTTGTAGTTTTAAATACATATTAAAATGTACCCTTTCATTTGGTAAAGATATTATTCAATTCAATTATTACTTTTTGTTTTTTTAATCAAGTTGAAATGATTATCTCCTATCCAAGGACAACTGATTTTATAGGCAATGGGCCAGCATATAATCATTAAATTAACAATAAAATAAAAAAACTTTAAAAGAACCTTGCATTTGTGCAAAGGACCCCCTGATTATAACCTTGATTGTTTTTATTCATGAAAATTTTATTTCTTTCCAACAGAATTAGCACTTTTCTTAGTGGGACATGTTTTTGCCGAAGTTTCAAGAATCAGTGTGCTGACATTCAAATAATGGAGGTCCCCAGCGAAAGTGCGCATTCAGCTCGGCAAAGAACTCATGCTCTTCCTCAGCACTGAAGTCCTCAGACATTTTTCTTTCGTTGTTTCTTTCTTTGCACAGGTAAACAGCACATTTCTTCTTCTACGCTTGCATTATCGGCAGAGCAGACGCTGAATGCGCACTTTCATCTGGGTTGGTCTGCCGCGGTTTCCGTAGCGTCGTGAACGCGCTTTCAGGAAATCCTATACACTACTGTTTATGCTCTAAAAACATTCTAAATGACTTTGTTTCGAGTAAATTATGGACGCTACCCACTCAGGACACTTGGAATACATTGGACGAGCAGTATGGAGGAATATTGACACGTTTTTTGTGGACTTTTATGGACCTTTCTGCCTCGGGCGCCATAGACCTCCATTATTTGAATGTCAGCAGACAGCAAGAAGCCTCCCAGATCTCCAGATGCATTTGAGATATCAAAAAAGTACTCCAGAGTGTTGTTCAGCATGGGGGTGAGTAGAAAATGAAGGCTAATCATGTTTTGGGTGTACTATTCCTTTAATGCATATATGTTGTCAGTCTATCATTGATTAACTAACAATATGTTAGATTAATTAGGACACCCTACTGCTGCCACCCTCTGGTTTGGAGGGGAACTGCTTGTTCCAGAGGTGGTGAATTATGTCGCCATGACAACAGATCAGCTCCATCACGGGAGGGGGGAGGGGCATGTGATTGGCCAACATGTATCTCAACACCTATCTCTGCAAACTGCTCTGAAGGCTCCATTAGTCAGCTCATGACGAATCAATTTAGAATGTAAGCGTGACGCACTATTGCTCAGCCAATTATTTTGTTGACTCTCCTCCGGCATCGACACGAGTGAAAGAACGGGTGAATGTTTTTTCCCCATCACAAACTCCACACATGGGATAGAAAATAAAACTTTTGCATAGTGTGATGAAATGGACTAAACTACTAATTAAAAAAGTTGCTTTAAACAAAAAAGACTGCACTTCTATCAAATAAAACATTTTCAATCAAAGAAAAGCAGTGTTCAAATTTATTATTTTTAGTCTCAAATATATTTTTGCATTCAAATACCTTTTTTCTTTGATTGAAAAGTTTTTTTTTTCATTGAAGTGAAGATTTTTTTAATTGAAAATATATTTTTTGATTTAAGCAACCTTTTTTTTGATTGAATAATAAAGAAACAAATCTACCTTCATAGACCCCTACTGCCAGTCAAATGCTTTAAGCTGCGCCCCGATTCTTAGAAACAGAGAAGTTTAATCTGACACAAGGTAAAACATGTTATCTACAATGAAACAGGAGACAGTGAAGAAACTCAAAAACTGGGGATAAAAATATTTCCTTTGTTCCGTCCGCAGATACGTGGATTTATTCTAGCAATTGTCATACCTCTAAAGTCTTATCCTCTCCCTCTGCTTTCTTCTAGCTTTGCCTTATCAGTCAAGCAACTAAAACAGATGGAATATATAGGCGGAGGAAAAAATGTCCATGAAGCCCTTGAATGTGTAATATCTCCAGCTTTCATCTCCTCCGAATCGCCAGCCACAAACGATATGGATCACACCTCAGACATGATGCCATTTAGTCAAGTATATAGGCTGGGCTTAATCCTCATCTGCAAGCTCGGCCGCTGGCGAGGCATGATATATGATAACTTCTGCTGGTTTGCTTTTGATGGGTGGAACACAATTAAGACTTCATTGCACAAAGATCTACCAAGAGTAAGATCCGTTAGAAACGAAGAATGTAGGAGCAGCCCAGAGCTGTGATTATGGACCACAAACACACAGAGAAGGCTTGATATGGAGAGGAAACAGAAACAATAAAGCTTCGCTACGTTTCCTTAGAACAATAGGCTGCTGCTCATGCACTATGTCACCAAGGAGGTTAGTTTTTAACACAGTTAAAGCTGAGGTTAATTTATAGGCCACAAGCCTATAATTCCTTTAACTAAGAGAAAAACACGAACAATCTGAGCTGTACTGCAAACAAAACTTAGAAGACTTAAATCTATTTCAAAGCATGTAGATCACAGTCCTACATTTATCCCGACTGTCAAACTGGATTCATCTTCCGCTTTAAGCTGGATTTTTGTGAAATGTCTTCAGTCTCGCTAATATATCCGTCTCGTAACAACCAGCGAGTTGGACCAATGACATGCCAGCAGTGTTTTCGGGGCGGCACATGTAGGAATGACGCCCTTGCTGGGGCATAACAAACATGGCTACACTGGAGGACTCGCCTGTTGATATTGCAATTGACTCGGTTTTAGCTAAAACAACGACAATTTCTCTTTTAGAAAAGGAGCCGAGAGAAGCACATTGTTCATTTGTAGATGGGAAGGATGTCTGTGATTTTCTTTGGAAAAAGTTTGATTTATCAGCTTCTAAGCTAGTTGTGAAAACACTCAAGAAGCAATTGACTGAAAGCATCCTATTGAAGGCGGGTACTAGCTGGCACATCACCCAATCAGCTCGAAGTATTGTACTAAACATCCCTCCTTTTAACTTAATTGAACTGAATTGAATTAACGGACAGACTGAACGGCAGCCATCCCACATTCAATATGGCTCCTGCCAGGTTACTGCTAGCCTCGTGAGACCATCCTGATGTCGCGAGCTTTCAAGGTTTCACTCGCAGATCAGTCTGCAGACTCTCCGTTAAAGAAAATTTGGAGCCGTTCACCAAACGAACGTCCAATCAGCATTGGCTTTGAGGCAGGTTGAGGTGTGACGCAACGAGAAGCGCGACAGTTCAGTCTAAAGAACATGGCGGCTTCAGCCGATGAAACTAGCGTTAGCGTGGCTATCCAGCAAGTTTTATCAGAATTACAGAGTATTTCTTCACTGAAAGAAGAGCAAAACACTGCTCTGGAGGCTTTTCTCAGAGGAAAAGATGTTTTTGCTCTTCTCCCGACTGGTTTCGACAAGAGTTTGATCTATCAATTGGCTCCTCTTCGTCGTCGCTCTGTTAGTACGTCATATGCTTCGTTGATCTGATTGGTTTATTTGGCCCGTCTATCACCAACATAGGCCAATCAGCTAACCAGTATTTTCGCCCCTTCCCAAAATTACTTCAACGGAAGGTTCCCAGATGGATATGCGGGGCAAATCCATCTGGCGGAGTAAGGTTAGGTTACTGCAAGGTTAAAACTGGATTTTATAGCAGCCTGAAAAGGTTTAGAAGAGCAGCAGACGTGACTGAGGCAGAGATACAGCAGAGCTTAGACCTAAAGCTACGATGGATGGGGGTGTGGTAAGAGTACAGGACAAGACTAGAGACATGAGAAGATGGCCCGGAACCAGGGAGGACCTTTGGTCATCAGTGACTTAGAGTTCAGCTGCTGTTATGGTGAACTAATTGGTGAACTCTTGTGTTTCTTGTGCGAATTTACCCACTTTTAAACTGTTCAGTCTTTTTTTTTTTTTTTGCTGCGTTTTCTTTTCTTGATATTTGTATTAAAATCCGAAACCTCTTCTGTTTCAGTTTATGAACACTTTTTTTTTTGCAGTTTTGTATTTTGATTGCCAGCCGGCCGAGGACTGCAGATCTGCTTTATTAACATTTAAGAAAAGCAGCTGTTTGTTTTTTAGATTTTTCAGAATCTGAGCCAGTCAAACTGGCTGCATTGTTTTAATTTGAGCCAACCAGCCAACCCAACCCCCCCCCCCCGAGGAGGTTTCTGCTCAGGCCAACCAGTGTGTCCATTTCACCTCATCCAGCCAGGAGACAGGACAGATTTCTATGCTCGACTAATAAATGTTCTGATTAGGAGGGAGAAACACCCTCAGCTAAATCCCACCATTATTCAATCAGTTTAATGAAGGCTTTATTTATCTACATCTCTAAGGCTAATAGTTTTATTATCCTCTGATGTGAAATTTGACATGACGCATTATTTACTTCACTGAATTATTCATCTCTCTTCCCCATTTTAACATTTGGTTTAATAGATGTTGATAAAAATTTTATTGTTATTGAACAGCGATGTGGTTATTATTTTGTGGAGTAAATTACTTAACAAGTAGAGAACTGGTGCAGTAATGGACGACTGATCATTAAAGCGGTTCTCCTTTATTTTCCCACATATGAACACATAAATAAGTAAATACCTGGAACCCCGAGGTCATTATTCTAATCGAGGTATCAGATTAAATCCTGTTCATGTGTAGTGATTGATATTCAGTTTGGTAATGCATAGAAATACGGACACAGAGCGGTGTAAGCTAACCTGGTTGGAGTAGCGCATGCTGACGTTGCGCTGATCCTGCCGAGGGACGTATCGGTGGATCGGGTCGATGTCTTTAGGGCTGATCAGCTCGTCCACTGGAACGTTATGGAACACAAATGGAAATAAAAGGAATGATTAACAGCATTAAAACATTTTTGGAATCTAAGATGTTCCATTTTATATTTAAAAAATATAAAATGTTCCATTTTATATTTAAAAAACATAAAATGTAAAATGTTCCATTTTATATTTAAAAAACATAAAATATATAATGTAAAATGTTCCATTTTATATTTAAAAAACATAAAATATAAAATGTAAAATGTCCCATTTTATATTTAAAAAACATAAAATATAAAATGTAAAATGTTCCATTTTATATTTAAAAAATATAAAATATAAAATGTAAAATGTTCCATTTTATATTTAAAAAATATAAAATGTTCCATTTTATATTTAAAAAATATAAGATGTTCCATTTTATATTTAAAAAATATAAAATGTTCCATTTTATATTTAAAAAACATAAAATATAAAATGTAAAATGTTCCATTTTATATTTAAAAAATATAAGATGTTCCATTTTATATTTAAAAAATATAAAATATAAAATGTAAAATGTTCCATTTTATATTTAAAAAATAAAAGATGTTCCATTTTATATTTAAAAAATATAAAATGTTCCATTTTATATTTAAAAAACTTAAAATATAAAATATAAAATGTTCCATTTTATATTTAAAAAACATAAAATATAAAATGTTCCATTTTATATTTAGAAAATATAAAATGTTCCATTTTATATTTAGAAAATATAAAATATAAAATGTTCCATTTTATATTTAAAAAATATAAAATGTAAAATGTTCTATTTTATATTAAAAAAATATAAAATGTAAAATGTTCAATTTTATAGTTTATATTTAGAAAATATAAACTATAAAATGTTCCATTTTATATTTAAAAAATATAAAATGTAAAATGTTCTATTTTATATTTGAAAAATATAAATGATAAAATGTTCCAATTTATTTAAGAAATATATAAAATATAAAATGTTCCATTTTATATTTAAAAAATATAAAATGTTAAATTTTATATTTAAAAAATATAAAATGTTCCATTTTATTAAAAAATATATAAAATGTAAAATGTTCGATTTTTTTCCAGTGTAAGCATGGAAAAAAAATCGAACATTTTACATTTTATATAAATCTAGATTAGTCATTTTTTCTTATAGGTTAATTTGTTCTTGGTTTGAGGAGATAAAAGAAACATTTTATCAATGGAACAAGACAATTTACACTTAAAATAATAAAACACAATTGCATTGTCTTATTTCAAGTGCATATTATCTAATTAACTTATTTTAAGAGTAAAAATACTCATTCCATTGGCAAACTATCTAATTAACCTACTCAAATTAATGGTAAATATACTTAATTTAGGAAAATTTTAACTTATTTCTAGATCGTTTTTCCAGTGCGGATTAGGGTGAAACTGTGAGAAACCCACCGAGCAGCTTAGCTATGTTGTACAGGGCCTGACCCCACAGAAACATCTTCCCATCCCGACCAGAGTTGCTAGGGAAACGCTTCTGGCTGCCATGTTTGTTCTGCTCCGCCTCCACAAAGTCAGCCGGTACATAGTAGTATTTAGGGATGACGGCGTGTCCTGCAAAGAGAGATGACTGTAGTTAGCTCGGTGTTTCTGTCGCCCGCTGGTCCAAATAGAACATCTACTGTCTAAGCACAACAACTGCAGCTTAAAGTGTCATTTTGAAAGCTATCGTGTGTTTCAGAGAGGATAGATAGCAGGTTCTGCATTTAAGAAGACAGTTATCTTCTCTGTTTGATTCACTACCACTGAAGCACTGCAGGATTTGGTGCTTAACCTTAAATTGAAACATTTATGTTTCTAGATATTCTTGCCATAAACCATCTGTTTGATGGTTGTTTTGCAGATGGATTGTACCCCTAAAATTGTCGGTTGCAGAGCAGCTTTGACTCTTAGCTCAAGCTTTTTTTCTTTTCCGGGTCTTTTTCCCAGGCTATGCTATCTTTAGATAACTTCTACATGATCTCACGGGGGAAATGTAACCTGTTTGGATTCAGCAAACCACATTTTCTCACCTCTGATCTGCAGATCCTGATACACTTCAGATACCAGAGCTATATTTGCTGTGTCAATCATCATTACTGTTTATATTTTTTGGAATCAGTTTATATAGAGGCACAATCTTTATAAATGTCCACATGTCTGTCCCAAAAGGCAACCAGTTTATTATAAAGTCAGAAAGAAAGTTTTAAAACAGTTAATTTTGTTAACAGGACAAATTATATTGTAAAAACAAACATGTAACTCTAAGGTTTATAACTGACTATATTTATCTAATCAGATGCAGAATCAAACTATTCTGCTGTTCAAGATATTTTTAACCTAAGTTAAATGTATTATAGAAATAGACTGAATAGAGCTGCCCCCATAGATCAGGCCAATTGTAACCAGATCTTGAAGATTCTCCAGTATCTGGACTGATAGAGACACTGATATCTACGGAAGATGATTAGGGCCAAGTTAACTGATCTTTAAATTTTATTTCAGTTTAAAATGGGAAAAAAAGTCAGAATTCTGAGATTAAAGTCAGAATCCTGACTTTTTTCCCATATCAAACTGAAATAAAATTTAAAAATCAGTTAACTTTTTTTTTCAGTGGCCCTAATCCTCTCCCGTAGATATCAGATCTAGAGCTACAACTAAGAATTATTTTGCAAATCAATTCATCTGTCGATTATTTTTTCAATTAATAATCTGATAGCCAAAGATTATTAGAACAAGATTTTCTTATTAAAATAAACCAGGTAAAAATAAAGCTTTTCCAATTGAGGAGTTCTGGATAGAGCATGTTGACGTTATTAAATTCAAAATGTTTATATAGGCTCCATGTATTTCTATTATAACCAACAATAAATCTTCTAAAATTCCAATAAAAAAATAAGATAATTTTTGTGGCTCTAATAAAAAAAAGCAAACCAATTAACTACAAATAAATAAACAATATTTCTGTAAAAAAAAAAGAAGAAAAAAAGGACAGAGGTCCATCATCCAGTTCAATAGGAAGCATGTTTTGTCTATAACCTGCTCGGATCAAACACTAACATATAAGCGTACAGATATGACATCATGTCAAGCCTCCTGCGCCATCTTCTTCTACGCCGCTCCAGATTATCTTCATAGCTCACGGCCGCAGGAGAATCCCTGCTGTAGGTTGGAAATAGTGACGGTTCTGACCTGATTCTCTAAGTAATCAGCAGTAGTCACATGTGATACAGTTTTAATGCAGTTAAGCTTTGTTTTAAAAGAGGTATTTCATATTATTAGGATTTTCAATATTTATTTATGATAAACTTAAATCTACCTGCTGTTACCAGTTTTTTTAGGACTCCCTTAAAAAAAAAAACCTCACTGGGATCTTTTAAAACAATAAAAAAATATCTATAGTCTAAAACTGACTGATATTTGAAGGCCGACACTAAGGTCTGAATTCAGGTCGATCTCTGTTTATGTTTTAAACTGCCATTTTTTGGCCTAATGATATAATTTGTTTCTACATTCTGCATGTAGAAATAAAAGTGCAACACTGCATGTCTCTGCTTTAGGAAATCATCTAGAATTAACAAATCATTTTCAAAGCACTAATCAAAAGTCTGTCTTCTGCTTTCTGATTAACATTAATCGTAAAAACAAAGAAATAAAAACCATGTTATCCTCCAAAGTTCAGCCAATTAACTTCAGGAGTCTGTGCTAATTTATGCAGAACAAGAACTAAGGCTCTATGGAGTCGACTTATATCTCCCTCTATTATCCTGTCTACACTCCAATTATTCCTCTTCTATTGTGAATGGACCAAGGGAAACTTCTTATTATGGGATGCTCTCCCCTCACTGCAATGGTTGCAGGTGGATAATAAAGTCAGGGTTTATGCTCATCGGTTCAGAACATCTCCGTCCTCCTGTGAGCAGTAAGTGGTGGATGAATATGAATGACAGGGGTTAATAAGAGGAAATTTTTTAATCACTGAGAGGAAAAAAAACTGGCAAAAGGTCAGGGATATAAATCTGAAGCTCAGATATGAAGCACAAAAATAAAGTTCATCTAAGGAGGAAGAAAACACCACCTTCCTCCTTGGGAAGGAAGAAACAAAAAAAAAACATCCAATATGGCGTCACATTTATTTCAAAACACCCGTGAAGAAAATAAACATACTCACAGGTATGTTAAACTATTTCTGCACATCGTTTATCTACCAGTGCAGAACAAAATCACACCTGTGCGAGAAACGGCAGAAAATCGCGCGTGCCAGCTCCTCCAACGTGAGCTTGGGTCCGTGCGCATGCTAAGGTCCCGAGCACGGGGAGGAAGTATCACTGTATGTCATTATGCAACTGTTTATTCAAATATAGCACTAATCCATGAGGAATAATTGTGCTTTTTGGGGGCAAGAACAGTAGTGAATTCCACTTAAGACTGATTTATACTTAGAAACCAGGTCGTCTGCGTGTGTCGCAGTGAATACAAATGTGGCTACGCCCCTTCCACAGACACTGTGCTGGACTTCTCCAAGCTGCACTGGAAAAAATCTAAATCTATATTTAAAAAATATAAAATATAAAATGTTCTATTTTATATTTTAAAAATATAAAATAAAACATTTTATATTTATAAAATATAAAATGTAAAATGTTCTATTTTATGTTTTATATTTAAAAAATATAAAATGTTCTATTTTATATTTAAAAAATATAAAATGTTCCATTTTATATTTAAAAAATATAAAATGTAAAATGTTCGATTTTTTTTCCAGTGTAAGCATGGAAAAAAACATTTTACATTTTATATAAATCTAGATAAGTCATTTTTTTCTTAAAATAAGTGCGTTTGTTCTTAAATTGAGAAGGTATAACCGACATTTTGCCAATGGAACAAGACAATTTACATTTAAATAAGGAAACACAATTGCATTTTTATTATTTCAAGTGCACTTTATCTAAATATCTTATTTTAAGAGTAAAAATACTCATTCCATTGGCAAATCATCTCATTAACCTACTAAAATTAAGGGGAAATGCACTTAAAGGTATACTATGCAGCCGGTGTTGATTTTCCAGCGAGGCTCCCCCCAGAGGGCGAAAGTAAAAGTGCACCGTTGTAAATATGCACAGCTGTTCTCCTGGTTTCTCCGTCAAGCCAGGCGCGGTTGTTTTGAGCTTAGCAGACAGGCGAACGCAACGAATCACCATGTCTACTGCGGTAAGTGACTATTTTGTTTGTTTCGAGTTTGAAAATTTAGCATGTTTTCATACATTATTTGTTATGCATCTGTCTAAATAACCTGTGTACGACTCCTCTCTCTGTCCAGAGCCCTTTTCCTCTTTCTTGCCTGCTCCGACATGGGCTTTGGCTGTTTTCTCGCTGGTTCCGCCCATGATAACTGCACAAATATCGGCACTGCGCTAGCAACTAGCATTCTTTTAAATGGGGGTGTGTAGCAGTTCTCGCCGTAAAGCAAGACCGACCCTCGCGATGCACGAGACTTCTGAGCCTGTGGGTGCGGGCCGAGGGCTCCTGCAATTGCAAGTACGGTATTTCCCCTACAGACCACCAGGGCGGCCGAGAAAACCTTTGTTCGACCTGAAATGACTCATTTAATCATCCAAAACGTTATGGAACACATTAATTAACTGGAAAATGTTGCATAGTATGCCTTTAATTTTAGACAGTTTTACTTATTTCTAGATGGTTTTTCCAGTGTGTAGGTGACCTCAGACAGTGCTGAAATAAATGTGACGCCATAAGCATCAAAGTCCTTCCTGCAAACACCTCATCAAACCTCCCTTCATCTCATCAACCAGCAGAAGGAAGCTAAAGTGCGCCCTCTACTTGGTGATCTCTCTACAAAACAACACAAACTAAAGTTTTTTTTTTAGTCAGAAGATGTTTATAGTTGTGACAAACTAATAGTCTAATCTAATGGTCAGGACACCGACTTTTAATAAATCAAAACTTGGGACATATATATTACTGATAATTTACCCACATATCACTGAATAAATTCCTCACCCATGTAGCAACAGTTCTGTTGCTGAACCCATTGCTGTGCTTACCTCAGATGCAATCAATGCGTTTGGTGTATTTACACATTAACTAATCACTCACCCTCAAAAGACTGGAAGATGATTGGTTCAAGGAGATCCTGGTATTCTTTCACCTGCTCCTTGTTTCCTCTGAACACACCTGAGACAGAGATGGGACAGAGATGAGACAGGCTTTAATCTCAAACCTTAGTTTTTCTAACAGCTTTTCAATCAAATCATGAACGGAGGTTAATTTGCGCAACCTCTAACTTTATGCTCTCTCTGGTTTTTCTCGTTATAGTGGCTTTATTCCTGTTAGGCTGTGGCTCTATCCTAGAGAGAAATATCAGCTCTGATAATAGATGATGGAGTAAGGCCTGTTTTCAGAGTGTAGTCCTGTTTCTCTCTTAGAACTAGCTATAGGCTCAGCTTTTAATGCGACTAACTGTATATGCTCTCCTTTACCTCTTTTGATATGAGAACCAACTCATATCTCATCTGCTTATCGATTTCTTTCCTAGACAGAGTAACATGCAGAGCTACAGTTTATAGTTACTTCTTCTAACATAGAAAGTGTTTGTAGATCAGAGCTTCTATATCTGTTTTCTATGTCTGCTTCTGTCTGCAGTCGGCCTCAGCAGATGGCCGCTCACACTGAGCCTGGTTCTGCTGGAGGTTTATTCCTGTTAATAGGGAGTTTTCCTCTCCACTGTCGCTACAAGCATGCTATGGGTAAGGGATTGCTGTAGAGTCAACGAAAAAAATGCAAGCGAACATCTACTGTTACCACATGCTCGCAGGATGAGAGAATCCTACACAGTCAGTGACTGAATTGAGTGTGCAGCTGTTCAGAGGATCTCCATCTGAAGTTAAGTTATTTTCTCTGTGATATCTCTGTATCTAAGTAACTCTAACTGACTACTTTAAAACATAGCACCTTCTGCTGCACTTTTCTACTGAGCACTTGTCAGTTTCACACTGTTTTATTTCTGATAGCAAGGAGTAGCTAGCCTAGGCTAGCGCTAGCTTAGCATTGCTATGGCTTCTCTCTCTCCCTCCCTTGACTCTTTTCCAACTCTTCCTTCTTCCTCTCCTCTCTCCTGCTCTCTGTGTCAGATGTTCAGTTATTCCTCTGCCTCCTTTAGTGATAATGGGATGTGTAATAAGTGTAGTATTTTTGTAGCTTTGGAGGCGAGGGTGTCAGAGTTAGAATCCAGGCTTCAGGCTGTTGAACATCCAGGAGTTAAAGTAGGCCCCCCACGTAGCTGTCCTCCAAAAGTGCCTGAGCAGCCAGGCGATTGGGTAACTGTACGCAGAAAGCGTAGTCGTGGATCTCTGCCCACTGGTCACCACCAACCCGTTCACGTTTCTAACCGGTTTTCCCCACTCAGTGACACACCCACTGAGAAGCCCACTCTGGTGATTGGCAGCTCCATAGTCAGAAACGTGGCATTAGAGACACCAGGGACCATAGTCAAATGTTTGCCGGGGGCCAGAACGGGCGACATCAAATCCTACCTGAAACTACTGGCTAAGGATAAGGTTAAATACAGTAAGATTGTTATTCACGCTGGTGGTAATGACACCCGGTTACGCCGATCGGAGGTCACTAAAATTAGTGTGGCTTCGGTGTGTAAGTTTGCCAAAAAAATGTCGGACTCCGTAATTTTCTCTGGTCCCCTCCCTGATCTGACCAGTGATGACATGTTTAGCCGCATGTCGTCATTCAACCGCTGGTTGTCTAGGTGGTGCCCTGAAAACAACGTGGGCTACATTAATAATTGGCAATCCTTTTGGGGAAAGCCTGGTCTGATTCGGAGAGACGGCATCCATCCCACTTTGGATGGTGCAGCTCTTCTTTCTAGGAATCTGGCCACATTTATTAGTCCTCCAAAACCCTGACCACCCAGGGTGCAGACCAGGAAGCAGAGTTGTAGTTTAACACACATCTCTGCAGCTTCTCTACTGTTACCCACTCTTTACTCCATCCAGACAGTGTCTTGCCCACGACCAAAATCTAATAAATTAGCAAAGATTCCCAAAGGAGTAAATCATGATAATCTAATTAAAATCAAAATAACTCCAATTGGGGAAAAAGTTAAAACAATTAAATGCGGTCTGTTTAACATAAGATCGCTTTCCTCTAAAAGTCTACTAGTTAATGACTTGATTTGTGATAATCACATTGACTTGTTTTGCCTTACAGAAACCTGGCTGCAGCAAGAGGATTATGTGAGCATAAATGAGGCAACTCCTTCAAGCTATTTAAATTTTCACATCCCCAGAAGTTCTGGGCGAGGAGGAGGAGTAGCAACAATCTTCCAGTCTGACTTACTGATTACTCCCAAAACAATTAATACCTACAACTCTTTTGAACATTTAACCCTTAATTTCCCTGATCCAAATTTCAAGGCAAGAAAACCTCTTCTTTTTGTAACTTTGTATCGTCCACCAGGTCCTTACTCTGAATTTTTAGATGAGTTTTCAGAGTTCCTTTCTGATTTGGTATTAAATACTGACAGGGTCATCATTAGGGGTGTAAATAATAATCGTTTTGTATCGATGCATCGATCCAAAAGCCGACGATCCGATGCATCGACACGTCCGCAATAGAATCGATTCATGTTTTTTTTTCCTCCGGTCTATTTTTATCCATTTGCTCCTGGGTGTAATTCCCCCTCCCGTGCTGTGGTGGCGCTAAACCCATTATGCCCTCCTACCGCTCTTCCTGGTTATACTCTTACAGCAGTTTGTTGCAGCAAGCTTGACACAGACATTTTTAAATTATGCTCAGTATTGAAGCGTGGTCTGGGCTACACGCTGTGGGTCTAGATACGGCCGAGGCGATGAGGAAGTGGGGGCGAGTTTAGTCCGACGACGGAGGGACAATGGGGCAAAAAGAGCGGAGATTCAGCTGGAAAAAGGGTCCCAGCGGTCTCGCGCACCTCGCTCTTCTAGCGGGTCGAACTTCACGAGTTGTTTTCCGCAATTTCGGTCATAAAAACAAAACAAGCCGGCCTGCTGTCTGCGGCACTGTTTGCAATCAGCTACAATCTGGGAGAGGTGCAGCATCTCTCAAGGGGGCGGTGACGTCGACACTGGAGCCTTCTTCTTCTTCTTTTATTTAATGGCGGTTGGCAAACAACTTATAGGTGCATTACCGCCACCTTCCAGAATGGAGTATGGACCAGACAAATTATTATATTCTCCCTAAAATACCCGTTCTTCTTAGAAAATTAAAAATACTACCAAAAACTACATCCCCAGATGACCTTTGAAACAATTTCCTTATATCTAGTTTATTTTTATTCCTGTCTAACTCTCTACGCAACATCTCTCTTTCCTGAGTATATTTATTACATTCTAAAAAAATATGTTGGACAGTTTCTCTGGAGCCGAGGTATTGCATTGAACTGATTACACTGATATTGTGCAGTATTTTTGCAGTATTTTTTGATGCAACTTTTCTACTTCTGTTATTTGCTGTTGTTTCTAAAGAAAATGCATAATGATATTACAGCTTTCATTGATTTATTCCAAACTTGAAACTTTGTTTAGCCTGTAAGGTGTAAAAAAAAAATAATAATAATAATAAAAAAAATAATCGATTAATCGAATCGAATCGAATCGTGGTGTATTCTTGAGTATCGAAAATAATCGAATCGTTGGTTCAGGAAATCGATACTGAATCGAATCGCCATGATGGATGTGATTTACACCCCTAGTCATCATAGTGGGAGATTTTAACATCCATGCTGACATTGAAGGCGATAGCTTAAGAGCAGCCTTTAATGCTATCTTAGACACTATTGGCTTTGTTCAAAATGTGAATAGTCCCACGCATTCTCATCTTCATACTTTGGATCTTGTGCTGACATACGGCATAGAATGTGAAGAAATAACAGTATTTCCTCACAACCCTGTCCTCTCTGACCACTTTCTAATAACCTTCAGGATTACTTTAACAGAGTTCTCCTCCCCCAAAAGAAGGTTCAATTTTAGTAGATCTTTATCAGATAGTGCAGTTATAAATTTTAAAGAATCTGCTTCACTTTCTCTCTCCTCTGTGTCACTGAGCAGTGCTGCAGAGTGCAAAAGCTTAGCTTATTCCCCTTCACAGGTTGATGATTTTGTTGATGGGGTTGCTAGTTCTCTGCGTATTGCCTTAGACAACGCAGCTCCTTTGAAAATGAAAACCGTTAAAAATAGAAAGCTTGCTCCTTGGTTTAATGCAGAGCTGCGTACTTTGAAGCAAAATGCTAGGAAACTGGAGAGAAAATATCGCTCCACAGGCCTGCGAGAGTCCTTCCTAGTCTGGAAAAATGGTTTACTGCTGTATAAGAGGACTCTTTGTAAAGCAAGAGCAGCATACTTCTCCTCATTAATAGAGGAGAATAAGAATAATCCTAGATTTCTTTTTAATACAGTTGCCAAACTCACCCAGAGCCATAGCTCTGTTGAACCGTCCATTCCACCTGCTCTTAGCAGCAATGATTTTATGGGATTCTTTATAAATAAGATTGATCTTATTAAAAATAAGATCATAAGCACTCCTCTATCCGCGATTGTACCTGAGGTAGTCATGGAATCTGAACCGGGTTTAGACTGCTTTGATCCAGTTGAACTCTCTGAATTAGCAAAATTATTGTCTTCATCTAAGCCTTCAACTTGTATGTTAGATCCAGTTCCAACCAGGTTATTTAAGGAGGTATTCCCTTTGATCTCCTCCTCCATTTTAGATGTGATTAATCTATCTCTGTTACAGGGATATGTACCTAAAGCTTTTAAGGTTGCTGTAATTAAACCTCTGCTTAAGAAACCGTCTCTTGACCCAGATGACTTGGTCAATTATAGACCTATATCCAATCTTCCTTTCTTATCCAAAATTCTTGAGAAAGTAGTTGCCAAACAAGTTTGCGATCACTTCCACCATAATGAACTTTTTGAAGAGTTTCAGTCTGGCTTTAGAGCTCATCATAGCACTGAAACAGCTCTGGTGAAAGTCACTAATGATATTCTCATGGCCTCAGATAATGGACTTGTATCTGTGCTCGTCCTGTTGGATCTTAGTGCTGCATTTGATACAGTTGACCATAATATTCTTTTAGAAAGACTTGAATATTTTGTTGGAATTAAAGGAACAGCACTAGACTGGTTTAAATCTTATCTATCTGATCGAATTCAGTTTGTTCATGTTAATGATAGATCTTCAACACGCTCAAAGGTTACCTGTGGAGTACCACAGGGATCAGTGTTAGGACCAATTCTCTTTACTTTATACATGCTCCCAATTGGTAGAATTATTAGACAGCATGGGATTAATTTCCACTGTTACGCTGATGATACCCAGCTATATCTGTCTATAAATCCAGATGAAGCTAACCCATTACATAGATTACAGGCATGTCTTGAAGACATAAAAACCTGGATGACCCTTAACTTTCTGCTCCTGAATGCAGACAAAACAGAAGTTATAGTCTTTGGACCAGAGTCTCTGAAAAAGAAACTGATTAGCCAGTCACTTCATTTGGATGGGATTAAACTGATTTCAGATAATAAAGTAAAAAATCTTGGTGTTATTTTTGATCAGGACCTGTCATTTAAATCCCACATCAAAGAGGTTTCTAGAATTTCCTTCTTTCATCTGAGGAACATTACAAAAATTAGAAATATCCTGTCCAGGGGTGATGCTGAGAAACTAGTCCATGCATTTGTTACTTCAAGGCTGGACTATTGTAATTCTTTACTATCAGGAAGTCCACAAACTGTAGTTAAAAGCCTTCAGCTGATCCAAAATGCTGCAGCCAGAGTTCTAATGAAAATTAAAAAGAGAGATCATATCTCGCCTATCCTGGCTTCTCTTCATTGGCTTCCTGTTAAATCAAGAATAGAATTTAAAATCCTCCTTCTCACATATAAAGCCTTAAATGGCCAAGCTCCATCTGATATCAGAGATCTGATTGTTCCTTATGTTCCTAACAGAGCACTTCGCTCTCAATCTGCAGGTTTACTAATGGTTCCTAGAATTTCTAAAAGTAGAATGGGAGGCAGATCTTTTAGTTATCAGGCTCCTCTCCTGTGGAACCAACTACCAGTTTTAGTCCGTGAGGCAGACACCCTGTCTACTTTTAAGACTAGGCTTAAAACTTTCCTTTTTGATAAAGCTTATAGTTAGGGTGGCTCAGGTTATCCTGAGCTATCTCTATAGTTATGCTGCTATAGGCTTAGACTTTTGGAGGACATAGGGACCCCCATTTCATCATTCTGCTTCATTCTCTCTCTGTTCTCCTATTCTGCAGAATCTGTTAGTTCAATCTCTAACCTTCTGCTCTCTCTGCTTTTCCTCAGAGTAGCTTTGCCTCGTCTGTTCCTGTTTGGCTGTGACGTCATCCTGGAAAGAAACATCAGCTGTGCTGCTTCTATCAACACCCTTGTTTATAGATGTTGGAGATCGGCCGGTTTTCCAGTGTGGTCCTGTTTCTCTGACCGTGACTGAGTGGATGTGCTCTCTTCGTCATCTGGCATGGGAGCTGCCTTGGAGCTCGTCTGCCTGGCTGTGTGTTTCCTGGACGGGGCCGCCTTTTACAGCTGCTTTTTGTATCTCTGCTTCTGTCTCCTTGAACCCCAGTCGGCCTCGGCAGATGGCCGCTCACACTGAGCCTGGTTCTGCTGGAGGTTTCTTCCTGTTAAAAGGGAGTTTTTCCTCTCCACTGTCGCTACAAGCATGCTTAGTGTGGGGGATTGTATTTGAGTCAATGAGTCAATGCAATCAACTGGTTTTCCTTAGATAGAAAACTTTGTATCAATTTGACTGTATGATCTGGTTGAACTGTAAAGTGCCTTGAGATGACATGTGTTGTGAATTTGGCGCTATATAAATAAACTGAATTGAAATTGAATTGAATTGAATGCGATCAGCTGGTATTCCCTGATAGAAATGCTAAACCTATTGAACTGTATTGTCTCTGTAAGGTACATGAGTTAGGAATCGGCGCTATATGCATACATTGAATTGAATAGAACTGAGTTATACCATACGACTGGTGCACTGGAAAAAATCAAAATCTAGATAAGTATTTTTTTTAGGGCTGCATCTAACGATTATTTTAAAAATCGATGAATCGGCCGATTATTTTTTCGATTAATCGATGAATCGGACAAAAAATATTTTTTATATTAACCTCTTTATTCCAAAATAAACATTTTAGACAGAACAAACAAGCACACAAGTACAGGTTGCTCATTAACTGTACTGGTGCAATATGAAAAATAAATGTTTGTGTTAAAACTACGCAAACGTACATGAGAAATGTGGCTGTACATCCAAAAAATATAGGCTACTTTGTTTCATAAAGTGCAAAAAAAGACATTTTTGTTTTTAAAAGCCCCTAAGGGGTTCAAACAATGGCCCCCCCATTTCAACAAATGAGTTTTTTTAGACTAGAAGAGTTCTGCCTTTTAAGACAGGAAAGTATAGCAGTTAAAGTGGCTACTTGAGAAAATACTGAACCATAGAGATAAAAATAGCCCTGTGATTCAAATTATAAATTGTATTTGGAATAAAAATGAGAGAACTAGGGGTGCTAAAAAACACATCCTCCAAAGACAGATATTTACATGGGAATGTGGCATATAATTAATTGACATATTAGGCTACTGATCTTGCTGGATTTTATTCTGCTTTACTTCCATAAATTGCAGGATCTTTACTTTATCTTTGCCAGAAGATTTAAACTTTAAAAGCCTTGCCCTCATAATTTGCAAGTTAATTTATTTATAAAGGCTATTTTAATTATTGTGATCAATTTGCGCCGTCAATCCCGGCGCATGCGCGCTTCATTGGCAGTCTGGACGCTTAGGGTAAACATCCTGCGGCTCTGACTGCAGCGCTGAGAGGGACTCCTGCGGGAGCGGGGGGAGGCGCCCGACGGCAGAGTAGGAACGATACATGCTTTCACGTAAGAGTCTCCAAAAGCTGCCAGTGACACCGTAAAAAGTCACCAGATTTGTCGCTAGTCGCTTTTTTGAAAAATAGTCGCTGGAGGCGTCTGAAAAGTCGCTAAATATAGCGACAAAACTCGCTGAGTTAGGAACACTGCGCACCTGCGGCGCTGACTCGCTCTGCCGTAATTTTTTTTTCTTCCCCTGTTTCAGTCAAGTGGATGTGATGACGGCGGCGGCGGATGACGCATTAATCACGCGACACAACTAATCGATGATGAAATTCGTTGCCAATGCTTTTAAAAGTCGATTGTTATCGATTTTATCGATTCGTTGTTGCAGCCCTAATTTTTTTCTTAAAATAAGTGCAATTGTTCTTGGATTAAGGAGGTAAGAGAGACATTTTGCCAATGAAACGAGGCAATTTACCATTAAAATAAGAAAACACAATTGCACTGTCTTATTTCAAATGCATATTATCTACTTATATTATTTTAAGAGTAAAAATACTCATTCCATTGGCAAACTATCTCATTTACCTGCTCAAATTAAGGGTAAATACACTTAATTTAAGGAATTTTTTACTTATTTCTGGATCGTTTTTCCAGTGTGGAGCCCGTGGCCTAAATGACTGAAAAAAAACATGCGTCCGAAAATGTAGAATTGGACACAAGTGGTGTGTCCTGTCCTTTACCTTCCCTTAAAACAGGAAAGGACGGTTTAAAATTTCCCCACGGAGGGGCAGTTAGGGCTAAACAATAAAAAAGCAGAATAAAAGGAAGATTAATTGCATTTTTTTAAAATCACAACCATCCTTATAATAATGTGGAAAAAATGTGGGATGTGGGAAACTAAAATAAAAATTGATGAGATTAAGTTGAAGTTCTAAACTTTAAACTATCCTGATTTATTTTTACCTGTAGATTTTTTTAGATTTTTCCTTTTTTATATTTTAGGTCCCTCATGCAGAGTGTGTACTACTCTGTAAGCTTTGGATTTAAAAATAGTTGTATCAAGTTTAACAGCAGGTTTAGTCTCAATCATATTTATGTTAAACTTTTTTTTTTCTAAATTCCTGCTTAATTTCATAAACATGTTAAAAACCTTTTAGAATCAGGTCTTTCTTTTCTTTCTCTCCCCATTAAGGCACCAAACCAGCAGCCAAGCAGAAAATGAGGCTTACCGTCAATCATCATGTAGATGAAAAACATGGGAAACTCGCATTCAATTCCATCAAAGAGCTGCAGAGAATCACAGGGAAAAGGAATTAGATTGCTTTCCTGTTTCACAAAGAATCGAGCCGGAATTAAGAGCAGCAACGCTGTTTAATAATAAACAGCAGGGAACAAAGAAAAACATAGAAGATGCATAATTCTCTATGAAGCAATTACAGGGAGGAAAGAAATAATTTGTTCTTCAACAAGACTTTTAGGTATTTCTGTCATTTAAAGCAGGTCTGATTATAGACGTCTGAATAGATCCAAGAAATTAAAATACAGCAACATACCTGCAGGAAGTGGACATCAATATATACTAGTGCATGCATTATATGAAAAGAACAAGTTGTGTTGGACAATAGAGGCCAGTGATGTAAGTAGGGATGCACGATATTGGGATTTTGGCCGATATCCGATATGCCGATATTTTAAAACTCATGTAGCCGATAACCGATATCGATACCGATGTTAAAGCTGGACAAAAATAAGTAGTCATTGAAAATAGCAGTTTTGTTATCCATTTCTGACACTTTGAAAAATAATATACTCAAATATATTTTCATATGCTGATATCAAATAGATTTTTAAAAACACGGTATCGATCTATTTTACTTTCAAAATCTCGTGAAATTTCATCGTTCTGTTACAAACTCTCGTGATATTTTGCAAATTCTTGTGAGATTTTGTTAGTAAAATAGATCAATACCGCGTCAATATATCAACATATAAAAATATGGCAAAATTTCGTGAATTTTCGGGGGATTTCGTAGCATAACGATGACATATAGCAATATTTCATTAGTAAAAGAGATTGATATGGTGTTTTTAAATGGCAATATATCAGCATATGAAGATATTGTGATATTTTAATGTATCAATATTTTTTCCCACGTCTTTAGAAGTTTTTAAGTCTGTAAAAAAGAAGTTTTTGAGGAAGAAGAAGAAGTAGTATTTATTTATTTTTTTTTTAGACTTTAGAAACTTAGAAGCTGATCAAATATCGGGTTAAATATCGGTGGGGTGGCCGATGTCCGATATTCAGTTTTAAGGCCGATACCGATAGGGGGCCGATTATATCGTGCATCTCTAGATGTGAGCTAATTCATGTTAACAGGACAAATCTGCACCTGCAGGAAAACAGGCAAGCAATAGTCCCTATTTCAAATTCAAGGAAAGAAAATCTCATGACCAAAGTATTAAAAACATAAACAATTTAAATCCCTGGAGAAAATGCAGAGCTATTTATAACAGTTAAAAAATCACCACGAACCAAACGCTATTTACAGATGTCAGTATTAAAAAACAGTATTAACAGAGTGGGGCAGCAGATGGAGTGGATTTCTCTATTAACAGGGTTCCTACGACATAGGGCAAATTAAATTCAGGACTTTTTAAGACTTTTTTGTCCCTTGAAATAAAACTGTCTAACATAACAGACAGTTAAGGAACAACAAATATGAGAGTAGTGATGGAAAAATGTCCACAAAATGTGTTTTTAAAAAAACTGAAATAGATTTTTCTTGGTTTTGTAGTCAAGTTATCTGCATTGGAAGTTTACTTTGGTTTCTAATAAGTAGCTTCCAGTTTTATTTTGAAAAATCTGTCCCTTTACTTCCTGTTTTCTTACCTTTTCTGAGTTTCCTTATTGGCTTTATATCTTTCTTACAGCTGGCTGTTTCCTGCTGATTAAATTCTCAGCTTTCAGTTCTTGTTCTGACATCCCTTCTCTTTGATTCCTCGCTCTCTGGAGTCTCCGCTGTTTCTTATTCTACTCATCCTTTCTTAGTTTATATTCTTCCTTTGGTTCTTCAATAACTGCTGGTTTGTCCAGTCCATACTGCTCAATGATAAACTTGCGTAATTCTCCCCTCCGTCGTCCATTCCTCCATGTTTCTGGTTTGATTTTTAATTAAATTAGTTTCATGATCTTTAGATCAAATTCTGGATTTTTTTTTTTTTACCTCAGACTTAGTTTTTCTAAGTTTCTTGTTATATTATTCAAAATATCTTTATTTTCTTCACCTCTGCCTCCCTTTTGCACAACCACCAGCCCCATTGTGACAGAAATGTATTATAACAAAAAAAATAAGGGGAAAAAATCAAATCAACCAATGATATTTGCAAAACCTTCCATTATATTTCCACTTTGAATTCAAGCAAGTGAAATGACATATTTAAATATACAGCCTTGATAAGGACGGCCTAATTAACTAAAATCATTTATCATCTATTGCTGATGAACGGATTCTGCAAACAGGTGTGTTCAGATGTAGATGTCAGTCCGTTTCCTCTCAGTCATTCGTTCTAATTATCTTTGTAGCTCCGTCTCAGTCAATATTCTCCACACTGATGGGAGATAACAGAGATTACAGGTGCTGGTCATAAAATTAGAATATCATGAAAAAGTAGATTGATTTCAGTAATTCCATTTAAAAAGTGAAACTTGTATATTATATTCATACATTACATACAGACTCATATATTTCAGATGTTTATTTTGTTTAATTTTGATGATTACAAATGACAACAAATGAAAATCTCAAATTCATCATATCAGAAAATTAGAATATTGTGAAAAGGTTCAAAATTGATGGCCCCTGGTGCCACACTCTAATCAGCTAATTAACTCAAACCACCTGCAAAAGCCTTTAAATGGTCTTTCAGTCTAGTTCTATAGGCTACACAATCATGGGGAAGACTGCTGACTTGACAGTTGTCCAAAAGACGACCATCGACACCTTGCACAAGGAGGGCAAGACACAAAAGGTCATCGCTAAAGAGGCTGGCTGTTCACAGAGCTCAGTGTCCAAGCACATTAATAGAGAGGCGAAGGGAAGGAAAAGATGTGGTCGAAAAAAGTGTACAAGCAAGAGAGATAACCGCACCCTGGAGAGGATTGTGAAACAAAACCCATTCAAAAATGTGGGGGAGATTCACAAAGAGTGGACTGCAGCTGGAGTGAGTGCTTCAAGAACCACCACACACAGACGTATGAAAGACATGGGTTTCTGCTGTCGCATTCCTTGTGTCAAGCCACTCTTGAACCACAGACAGCGTCAGAAGCGTCTTGCCTGGGCTAAAGAGAAACAGGACTGGACTGCTGGTGAGTGGTCCAAAGTCATGTTCTCTGATGAAAGTAAATTTTGCATTTCCTTTGGAAATCAAGGTCCCAGAGTCTGGAGGAAAAGAAGAGAGGCACTTCATCCACGTTGCTTGAAGTCCAGTGTAAAGTTTCCACAGTCAGTGATGGTTTGGGGTGCCATGTCATCTGCTGGTGTTGGTCCATTGTGTTTTCTGAGGTCCAGGGTCAACGCAGCCACATACCAGGAAGTTTTAGAGCACTTCATGCTTCCTGCAGCTGACCAACTTTTTGGAGATGCAGATTTCATTTTCCAACAGGACTTGGCACCTGCACACAGTGCCAAAGCTACCAGTACCTGGTTGAAGGACCATGGTATCCCTGTTCTTAATTGGCCAGCAAACTCTCCTGACCTTAACCCCATAGAAAATCTATGGGGTATTGTGAAGAAGAAGATGCAATACACCAGACCCAACAATTCAGAAGAGCTAAAAGCCACTATTAGAGCAACCTGGGCTATCATAACACCTGAGCAGTGCCACAGACTGATCGACTCCATGCCACGCCGCATTGCTGCAGTAATACAGGCCAAAGGAGGCCCAACTAAATACTGAGTGCTGTACATGCTCATACTTTTCATGTTCATACTTTTCAGTTGGCCAACATTTCTATAAATCCTTTGTTTTTATTGGTCTTCAGTAATATTCTAATTTTCTGATATGATGAATTTGAGATTTTCATTTGTTGTCATTTGTAATCATCAAAATTAAACAAAATAAACATCTGAAATATATGAGTTTGTATGTAATGTATGAATATAATATACAAGTTTCACTTTTTAAATGGAATTACTGAAATCAATCTACTTTTTCATGATATTCTAATTTTATGACCAGCACCTGTAGATCTTAATGCACAAACAAACGCCTAATGGAAGTGAAATAGTCTGCCATTCAGAGGCTGCTGTCGCTATCACTGAGCAGATACCTCTGTCTGAATGCACTTCTTTAAATGGTTTATGTCTTCACGCTGTGATTATGCAGATCTGCTGCACCTCAAACTGTTTTGCAGCAAAGAAGAGACGCAGTTCTAGTGACACAGGGAGGAGAGACAGGAAAAACGATAGCATGCATAACGCCATGCAGGGAAATGGGAGGGTGGTTAGTGGCGGTGGGGTGGAGGGGCAGAGACTCACTCAATGGGGCCTGTGCTTTTTTGCCCTTTTAGGCTGCATACACGCAGAGATCCCCTGTGTTTTGTGCTTGAGCAGCTTGACTGATTGGTAAAGCTGCCTGTCACACAGGCGGCTGCTGCTCTCTGTCAATGCTGAGCAGACAGGAAGCCCGGGCGCCTGCCCCGCCATGAATTCTCTCTAAACACCAACAACAACAGCCTCAATCAATGTCCTCTGCAGGGACACCTGGTCTGCCGGCGACTTCTTTCCCTCCAGAATGAGCTCACACTGTGCTTCACTCCCACAGCCGTCTCAAACAGCTCATTGGTTCTTTCTATAGACGGCCACGGGTTCCTGTTGCTACAAGAAGAGAACATTATTCTTCTTGTTCAAAATAAAAACGGTAACAATCCTCAGCCTCCAAGAAAGAAACATAATATAATATACTATTAGAAAGTCATATTTACTGAACTTTGGCCAATAAAGTTAATTTTTGACCCCATCTGCTCTGAAATTACAGCCATTTGCTTGTCTGAGTGAAGGTGTGAAGAAGCCTGAAGAAGCGCTGGATAATTCAGAGCCTCTGAGTCTTTTTATCCTATTAGCTGCAGGATTAAAATGCAGCTAATTGCAAAGTGGTTCAGAGTGAGTGCCTCATGAGTGCCCACTTTGGCAAATTTAAGGGAGCGCCTTCATCATCTGTGGCTTCTATGAATTACTGCTTGGCTGGGCCCAGTTTAGCCTCAGAGGAAGTCTTTTCAGTTTCTGGAAGCTTCGGAAAGAAAAGTTTATAGACTGCAGTTCATCTGTTAACATCCAAAATTGATTTGATCTGCTGGTGGGGAAATAGAGTATGATATTCAGAGGAGTATTACAAACTATTCAGGGTATTCTATTCTGTTTTTCCACTATTCTGGGTCATGAAAGGAACTTTTTATAATGCTGGTCCAGCTGGCACTAAGATTTTAAATGGTCGGATGATTTCCAAGTCTTAAAGATATGGAAGAGGATTAGGGCCACTGAAAAAAAAAAAAAGTTAACTTATTTTTAAATTTTCTTTCAGTTTAATATTGGAAAAAAGTCAGAATTCTGGCTTTTTTTCTCAGAATTTCTGAGTTTAATCTCAGAATTTTGACTTTAATCTCAGAATTTCTGAGTTTAATCTTAGAATTTCTGAGTCTAATCTCAGAATTCCAACTTTTTTCTCAGAATTCCAACTTTTTTCCCAGAATTCTGACTTTTTTCCCAGAATTCTGACTTTAATCTCAGAATTTTGACTTTAATCTCAGAATTTCTGAGTTTAATCGCAGAATTCCAACTTTTTTCCCAGAATTCTGACTTTTTTCTCAGAATTCTGACTTTAATGGCAACTTTTTACCTGCCAGAGGGGTCCCCTCATTAATGGAGGAGCAGAAGGTCATTAAAACAACATGGATGTTTGCATATAAATATTTTTTTTATATTTAAGAACCATGTCACTATATTTTGAATCAATATCCTCTAGTATAATATTGTGATTTTTGACAGATTTAATTTTACTCGTCCTCAATACATAGAGCAAGATGTGTGCAAGGGTGTCTGTGTCTGTTTAAGGACAGTTTATAAATGTAATTATTCATTTGGAAAACACTTTTTACAGAATTTAGAACATTGATTTCCAAAAATTGGGTCACAAACACATTTGGGCTCCTTAATCAGGCAGTAATGAGGCTTTAGATCCACAAATTAAACTAAACAAATAATTATTTTTGAAGTGCTTAAAAATGCTTGCTTGTTGATGCTGTTAATGATATCATCGCACTTGTGGTTAATTCATTTTGTAGGAATGTCTGTAAACATAACCAATAGTTTGGGTCATGAATCGACTCTGGGACCATTCTGTTAGGTAAAAGCTGGAGAGTTTATGCAGTATTGTACCTTTGATCGCACCGTCTCCACAGTAAATAAACCAAACCTCTATAGTCTACTGATAAAAAGAGCAAAACGCTGAAGTGAAGTATAATAAGTCAAGCAGGTAGAGCTAATGGTAAATGGGTCCCTTTAAAACCTTGGGAAATGGTGCTGTTAGATCAGATAGAGTCTGAAGGGCAAGTTTTGCCAAAGATACTGAGTTGGACTTAAGAACTGGACTTGGACTGGGCTCTGACAGCTGTCTGTGGCTCTTTGGAAAGGAAATCCGCCCTAATCTCAAGTTTTCTTTGGCCTACAACAGCTTTGTAATGGGTTTGATTAGTTTCTCTTTAGCAATATGCAGACGCCACCTATGTCAAGTGGGGGGTTGGGGTTCAAGGTGATGTGCACACATTGTTTGTTTCCACACAAAAAAAGTTTGGCATGCAGGTAAAAACATTGTCGGATTTTGATTTTGTTTGTTGGTAGTCTTTTAGTTAAGTAATCCTCTTTCCATTTTTCAGATGATAGATTTATCGCTCTATGTGATTTATAAAGCCTGAGGAACCCAAACGCTGCTTAACCTTCCTATCCTGTAATCCCCTGATTCCTCTTACAGTTATGAGCTACTTACTGTTAGCCTCTTATAAAAAACCTTAAAGTCATAAAGAAGCTGCTGTTCCAACCGTTGCATTGTGATTGGTCGATTATCAAGGGGGCGGGATTGTTGTGGTGGAAGGTTCGCAAGCAAGTTTGGTTGTGGCCGGTTTTATCGTAAGGATCTTGCTAACCAGTAAGCAACTTAGTGCTAGCAGGTTCCCAATGTGAAATTCCATTGGGACCAAGTAGCACTAAATTGGTGACTTAGAAACGACGCTGTCAAGGAACGCTATGGACAGCGGAAACATGCAAGAGGAGGAGAGTTTAGTGTCGGAGGTCGTGGATGAGTCTCCTCCGTCATCCATTTTTTATTTAGAGGAGGAAAGCGGGGACGAAGATGTTGTGGAAGAGGACGCCAGGGCGGCAGAAGCTTGGTTTGGTGTAGAAGGCTTCCAGCCGTACATGTTTGAGCCCTTGCCTCGCAACGCTGCCAGTTCTGTTAGCTCTACGCCTGCAGAAGACACAGACGTCCATCCCCGTGAACACTGGGACGCAACTCAATGGGAAAGGAAAGGATTCTGATTTCAACCGTTGCGTACACTATATTGCCAAAAGTATTTGCTCACCCATCCAAATTATTGGAATCAGGTGTTCCAATCACTTCCATGGCCACAGGTGTATAAATTCAAGCACCTAGGCATGCAGACTGTTTTTACAAACATTTGTGAAAGAATGGGTCGCTCTCAGGAGCTCAGTGAATTCCAGCGTGGAACTGTGATAGGATGCCACCTGTGCAACAAATCCAGTCGTGAAATTTCCTCGCTCCTAAATATTCCACAGTCAACTGTCAGCTGTATTATAAGAAAATGGAAGTGTTTGGGAACGACAGCAACTCAGCCACGAAGAGGTAGGCCACGTAAACTGACGGAGCGGGGTCAGCGGATGCTGACGCGCATAGTGCGAAGAGGTCGCCAACTTTCTGCAGAGTCAATCACTACAGACCTCCAAACTTCATGTGGCCTTCAGATTAGCTCAAGAACAGTGCGCAGAGAGCTTCATGGAATGGGTTTCCATGGTCGAGCAGCTGCATCCAAGCCATACATCACCAAGTGCAATGCAAAGCGTCGGATGCGGTGGTGTAAAGCACGCCGCCACTGGACTCTAGAGCAGTGGAGACGCGTTCTCTGGAGTGACGAATCGCGCTTCTCCATCTGGCAATCTGATGGACGGGTCTGGGTTTGGCGGTTGCCAGGAGAACGGTACTTGTCTGACTGCATTGTGCCAAGTGTAAAGTTTGGTGGAGGGGGGATTATGGTGTGAGGTTGTTTTTCAGGAGCTGGGCTTGGCCCCTTAGTTCCAGTGAAAGGAACTCTGAATGCTTCAGCATACCAAGACATTTTGGACAATTCCATGCTCCCAACTTTGTGGGAACAGTTTGGAGCTGGCCCCTTCCTCTTCCAACATGACTGTGCACCAGTGCACAAAGCAAGGTCCATAAAGACATGGATGACAGAGTCTGGTGTGGATGAACTTCACTGGCCTGCACAGAGTCCTGACCTCAACCCGATAGAACACCTTTGGGATGAATTAGAGCGGAGACTGAGAGCCAGGCCTTCTCGTCCAACATCAGTGTGCGACCTCACAAATGCGCTTCTGGAAGAATGGTCAAAAATTCCCATAAACACACTCCTAAACCTTGTGGACAGCCTTCCCAGAAGAGTTGAAGCTGTTCTAGCTGCAAAGGGTGGACCGACGTCATATTGAACCCTATGGATTAGGAACGGGATGTCACTTAAGCTCATATGTGAGTCAAGGCAGGTGAGCAAATACTTTTGGCAATATAGTGTATATTAGCTGCGACATATGAATCAAGATGCTATGACTAAAAAATTTAATTGACAGATGACCGTTGATATATGATTGGCCGAATTTACGTGTTCAGGCTGACGTAGAACTAACTGGCCTGCAGAAGATAACCAAAAAAAAGGATTTAAAAACTTTTTTTAATAGAAATTTTCCACATTTTGGGACATTAAACTCTGATAAAAAGTACATTTATTTACATGTTTAAACCAGAATGATTTGACATTTAAATAAGCACATTGAATGCGTGGCTTTAATGTGACTAATTGCAAAAATGACCAAGATAATGCAAACACAGATTTTATTCTATTTTAAAGACAGTTTTCTTATTTATCATACATTTAAAACCATCTCTCTGCTAAACACTGACTAAACTCTCCTTTTCCATCTTTAGGAAGCATACGGTATGTCCCCAGCACAGCTGTGACTGTCGTTTATTCCCCTCTGTGAAGCAAGCGACAAACCCATTGAGGACTCACACCTCCCAAAGCAGGCTGTGTATGTTAGAACAAAGTAGATGCTTATTTAAAACTTTTTCAAATCCACCATAAAAATCAGGGTAGAAAGTTTCTTAACTGTGATCTAACTTGGAAAATATGGAAATATTTAAAATCCATAGAGATATTTTTTTTCAAGTTTTCAAATACTTTTCTCCACAGAGACAGAAGCAGGATGGTGAACGAAGGGCTTTAACTGCTGCAAGGTCAATATGTCCACAACCTTCCTGATCACCGATCCATACCGGAGCAGAGGCGTTAGAAACACGCCTCCAAAAAGCATCACTAACTGAACGGACCCGGAAAACTCACCTTCATTTCCGCCGGTTTGTAGTAGCGGCGGTTCTTGTCCTCATTAGCCGTGCGGTAGCCATCACGAAGGAAACGCTTGAAGCCATATTTGCCGCGGAGCTTCCGGACGATCTTGTCCAGCGTTTGGCTGTAGAGGGCGTCGTCGTCGACGGCAAAAGCCGGGTAACTGATGGTGGGAAGCAAGGCAGCGTCTGTGTTCTAACCAGGGAGAAATAAAGACAGTAAACAGATGAATCAGGAGCCTTTGATTATCAAAGCTGAACATATATACATGGTAATCTACTCACAGTGAATTAGGAAACCCCTTGCTATTAGTTTTAAGGAACTAATATGACCAGACATTTAATTATCTGTTCAGTTTATTGAGCAGGAAAAAACACCCATTAGGCTCCATCTTTACACCAATGAACACCAGTTAATATTATTACTTCATCAATAAAGAACCTACATTAAGATTTTGCATTTTCCTGCATGCATGCATAACTTTCCTCAGAATCGCTTTGAGTTGATTCAGCCACCAGCTAAATGAGTGCATCCCTCTTCAGGTCTGTTTGATACGGCTTTGTATTGGATTCTCTCTCAATTTGCTCCAATCTTTGCAGCAACAAAGGCTGGAGCAGAAGCATTTAGCGGCAACGCTTTTATCTGACGTCTCATTACAGCTGCACTGCGCATATTGACAGGGCAGCCCAGGCTACAGTAGCACAATAAAAGAGCAGAGCAAACCTTGTGAAGCAACTGAATATTGAAATTGGATCTTTTGACACGGAACAAACGGCACTGATATGGTATTAGTATCTTTGCCATCTTGACACAATCCTGCAGTGTTGCAGGGCCTCCTGCTCCTTAATGTCAATCTCACGTAGCTAAAAACACCCCTCTGATCCTCTAATTACACTCATTTGATTCCTCAAATACTGGAGGTGGCTTGTCTACCTGACACACATGCACACGTCAGCACACACTGATCATTGAAGAGTCTGCAAGAGGTGGAGTGGAGAGAGGAAACAATTTTGCGCCTACTTTCTCCTCCTGATTTCATTTCATTTTTCTTCACATCTGCCTCGCTGCGGCTCTGGGGCCACATCTCACTTCTGCTGGATCTCACTGAACGTTAAACCAGCAGCAGCAGGGGTAACGTAACGATCGACCCCATCAGAGAAACAAGTCTAAATATCCAGTGACAGACCGACAGTTTATCTGATGTGTGCCATACTATGAGTTTATCAAATATGCACAAAGCTTTAGGAAAAAACATTAAACAGCCAGAAAGGGAGGGTGGTTGCCTTAAAGGTTGTATGCCCATCAAAAAGGACACGCTAAAAATAAGCTAATATACACTGGAAAAACGATCTAGAAATAAGTAAAACTGTCTCACATTAATTCCGTAAAAATTCAAAAAATATCCACTGGACTTGGTTTTCAAGATTTGAAGACGTTTCGCCATCTCTCCAAACCTGGACAATGGACATGGAGGAGCAACGACGCTACTCCAATTTCCAAGGTATTCATTTACTTTTTCACCTTTACAGAGATCGTTATGTTTTCTATCAGTAGATAAGGCTAATGCCAGGGGAAGCTGATAGCTCAGCTTCAGAGGTGGTCAGCAACAACAAATTCCCAGGGGTGCACATCACAGACACCCTCACTGGTCAAAAGGGCACAGAAGTGCTCAGACTGGAAGAAGGTGAGAACAACTCAACTCAATTTTGCAATGCTCTGAACCTTCCATATCAATGCCTTTTGCATCATGTCTCTGAACTAGTTTTCCTACACTGTTTACATTTTGATCACTGCTGCACTTTATAAATGGAAATGTCAGTTTCACCTTTAAGCTTTTTTGGATCGAAATTTCGTTTTGTGTACACTCTGTGTATACAAAACGACAATAGAATATAAAACTTGTCTAAATTTTGCATGGATGTTTTTTAAAGAAGAACATTAACATACACCATCTTCAACAAGTTGGTTTGATAGGAAACCTATTCACTATAGAGTGCACCAAAAGCCTACTGAGGGTGATCTTTATTTTCCTTGAGTGCATTATTGCACTTTACTGTCGTTTTTTCTCCATATGAAAACACCTTATTGCTTTTCTGTGATAGAAGGAACATGTTGCAGCGGAGCTAACCTGTCACTTCTGTAGCTCTCGATCTTCCTGCAGCTTAGAGTAAACTAATTACCATTCCAATCCATGTTTTCCGGTCTTCAGAATAGTTTACTCTGTCTGTTTAACTTGTTTCGAGCTAGTCACAATTACTGGACTAATTGCATTGCAGTCAAAGGTCTGCTTATGCTCTGCAGAACTGTGGTGATATTAATAAGGAGGCTCGTTGCCCGAGGCGGTGCACAATTGTTTGCATTTTGTCTAAAACATTGCTGATAAGAAGTGGTTAAATGTGTTTGCTAATCGCAGCTTGTAAAGGGCATGATGCTCTGCAGGAGGAGAGCAGGCAGCTAGATCTGCTCAATATAAATCTGTTATTGAACAGTAAAAACATCAGCATCTAAAAAGATGTTTGATGACTTGGTGCTTAGAAATAGAGACATTAATTCCTTTGTCTGAAATGATATTATTGTTGTTAATAATCTCATTAATAGCGACAGAGATGATCTACTTGGTCCCTTCTTACAGTTTTTAACTCCGTCTGTTTCAGACGTAGCTGCTGACTGACTGCGTGTTTTCCTTTGATCATTTCTTTAATCCTACCTCAGAGTTTCCCTCCTAGATGAAGCCACTTAAGGAGCAACCAACCTTCTTCTAATCTTCCTCTCACATAGAAAGTACCGAGTCGGCCTCAGCAGAGAGACGTTCACACCAAGCCTTGCTCTTCCTGTAAAAAGAGTTTTTTTTCTCTCCACCTCTGGATTCCAAAAGAAAGACCCTAACCACTAATTCCTTTTTAAACATCAATCTTTGTACTAAAGCATTATGTCATGATTTGTGGAGATAAGATCTAAAGAGAAGCGCCATCTCCTGGTCAGACCCTGTAATTCAGTGAAAGGGTGGAATCAGAGTAAAAGTGGCAGGAAGTTGGAGGGCATTTTGCTGGGAGTTGCAGGGAAGTGGGCTGCCATTCGGCTGCCGTTTGACCGAGTAGGGAAAATATGAACGGATGCTACTGTATGCCAGACATTTAAAACTTACCACAACCCTACATAATAGGATCTAAGGCAAACTAAATGTTGTAATTCTGTTGTCCATTGTTAAACCAAAAAGTTGTATTTAAAGAAGAAGGATCTCTTTAGATTCTGATCGAGGGGCTGATCCCTATATTTATGGCAGTAAATAATAAATGAACTTTATTAATCTAACAGAAATTTACGTCTGTATTTAACCAGGGATGGAACGGTTTATGAAAACCGTCCGAACCGTTCGGTTCGACTGTCTCGGTTCGGTTCATGCGCTGCTCCTTTTTCTCATAGGCGAAGCGTTTACACTCCAGAGCAGAAGGTGGCGGTACTGCGACCAAAGCCAACCACCAGTAGTAAACAAGAAGAAGAAGAAGCGAAGCAGCGTAGCCGGGTGTAGCAGAAAAAAATCAGTTGTTGTGGAGAATTGTGTGGGTATGGCGAGTGGGAAAGAACAGGAGTTGGAAGACGCGCCAGCAGCACTTTATAGGTCTGCTGTATGGGACCACTTTGCATTTAGAGTGACCTACGATGACGGCGGAAAGAAAGTTGTGGATAAAACAGTGTGAAAGCATTGTGCCACACGTTTTGTTTATGCTAACAGCAACATGACCAACATTTCAGGCTAACAATCAACATTAACCGAACCGAAAACCGTGAAAACGAAACCGTGAACCGAACTGAAACGTGGATTTTGTGAACCGTTCCACCCATACATTTAACCCATCACCTTAGGGAGCAGTGGGCTGCTACTGTGAGGCACCCGAGGAGCAGTGTGGGATTAAGGGTCTTGCTCAGGGACCCAGAGTGGAGGCTGTGTGGATTGAACGAGGTCTTGCAACCTTCTCAGAGCACCAGTGCACTGCTCTAACCATTAGGCCAACACTAGGAGAGTAATGACGGATAACATTGTCCTACCCAGTAAATATTACCTTAATTCTGTGACATATAATATTTTTGGTTTCTTTTAAACGTTCGTAGAGCTCAGGTTTTTGTTCTGAGTGGATCAGGGAGGTGCACTGGAAAAAATCTAAATCTAGATAAGTCATTTTTTCTTAAAATAAGTGCATTTGTTCTTGTATTGAGGAGATAAAAGAGACATTTTGCCAATGGAACAAGACTATTTAGATTTAAAATAAAAAAAGACAATTGCATTGTCTTATTTCAAGTGCATATTATCTAACTATCTTACTTTAAGAGTAAAAACACTCATTCCATTGGCAAACTATCTAATTTACCTACTCAAATCCAGGTTAAATACGCTTAATTTAGGAAATCTTTACTTATTTCTAGATTGTTTTTTAGGTGTGTGGGCAGTGGACTCACATGTGAGCGAGACTCTCTGGGCAGCAGAGAGGACAGCGTTTGTCTGTTCCTGTTGTGGGCGTCCAGATCCACAAATATCACAGACCATGAGCAGCCCTGCAGTGGAAACACACACAGAATACCAGTTACTTAGGAACTGTTCATGCTTTAAAGGAAAAAAAGCAGAAACTAATAGTGCTCACACCCACAAACAAACACACTTGGCAAGTCATCCATCATTTTATTTGAGAAAAGGAAAGGAAATAAATAAAATCAAACCCTTAATGTCTAACCTTGTGCCTTTAAACATCAAAACAGAGCATTTCCCTGTAAATTCAGGCACATATTTCTGGCTTTCATGCTTGTTTGAAGTTGAATGTGGGAGTGTTTGAACAGCAGAGAGCGGAGGTCCTTATAGGCAGATGAAGTGCTGCAACCCTAACGTAGGCTGTTAATCCAGGGCACTTAAATATCTTTAGGAAACGGGGGTGGGGGGGTTAAAGCTGTTCAAGCTTTTTTTTAAGTGATCAAACCTTTTTCTGGTTCCAGCTCGCTTCATCAGCTGTGCTCAAATAAAAGCAACCGAGTCACTCCTGCAACCTGCCAAGCAATTTTAATGCAAGTCTAATGCATAATGTATGATTATTGCTAGAATATGTTTTTTTTTTTCCAAATAGGTCTGGGCTTTTAGTCAAATCAGCAATCTTTCCTTTAGCTATTTGCATAGTGCAAAGCATTGCTGGACATAAAAGAAGGCAGCTGTGCAACATTTGGGAAGAACCAGACAGAAAACAGCTTTTTCACTTATAGCGAACAGCTTTATATTGCTGTAGAAATGCCAGGGAACAGATTCATA